CACTGAACTTGTATGGATTCAGAACCTATTCAAGGAACTTGGCATTCACATAAATAACACTCCTGTTATATTGTGTACAACATGAGTGCTGGGCATTATCCTCCAATCCTGTTTTTCATGCCCGAACAAGCACATCGAAATTGATGTGCATTTTGTTAGGGAATTAGTTACACGAAAACTGTTAAATGTGCAGTATGTTTCATCTGAATATCAGATAGCTGATGTTCTACCCAAGCTCTCTCTTGTTCACTTTTGCTATGCTAAGGGATAAGCTAACTGTCACATCTGAATGTGTGACAAAATGATCAAAGCAGCCAGGAGATATATTTGTGATAAAATAGAAATGTGCTTATGGAGCGTTAGAATTCACTTCTGAAGCAGAGCAGTTAGAAATTTGGTGATTTTGTGTGATTGTAAACTTTTGTAGTATATAGGAAAACGTGCAGTGTGTGTAGAAAAATTTTGCTGAAGTTTGCAGTGTATAGAAAAACAGTGCAGTGTGTGGAGAAGAATTTTACTAAAGTTTGCAGTGTATAGAAAAATAGTGCAGTATGTTAGAAGAATTTTGCTGATACTGCAGTTGAAGCTTGTAGTGTTATAGAGCAGAAGTTTTTTTTTTTAGTTGTTTGAAATGCAGTTGAAAGTAGTTTGTGCAGAAAAAGTTTGCTGAATGTGTTGCTTGATTAAGTTTGAAATTTGGAATTGTTGTTTGGGAGAATATTGGTGTGAAAAATGCAGCAGAAAGTGTATGTGCAGTTTAGTGTTATTGAGCAGAAGTTTTTTACTTGTTGTTTAAATGCAGTTGAAAGTATTTTGTGCAGAAAAAGGTTGCTGAATGTGTTGCTTGATTAAGTTTGAAAGTTGAAATGTTTTTGTTGGAGGAATATTGGTTTGAAAGTGCAGCAGGGAATATGTGAGTTCTCATATAAATATGCGCAGGAAGCTTGCTGAATGTGTTGCTTGATTAAGTTTGAAATTTGGAATGTTGTTTGGGGAGAATATTGGTGTAAAAATGCAGCAGAAAGTGTATGTGCAGTTCTCATGGAGTATTAGTTTGCAGTATTTGTAGTAGTGTCTGCAGTTTCCATGTTTTGTATAGCAAAGTTTTTGCAGAAGGAGATTTGTTGTTAATGCAGTTGAAGTTTGCACAGTTGAAGCTTGCATCCTCATGTCTATGCAGTCCTCATGTTTGAGACATCTCATAAGAGCTTTGGTTTACGGGAAGATATTGATCATAGAAAGTTCAACTGAGTCAGTTCAGGGTTTTGGCTTACGGAAGATATTGGAAACAAGTATGAGAAGCAGGGTTGTCTCTGCAAGATTAGAATGTTAGTAGGGTTGATTTTGTAGAAATAAACTGTCACCACACGGTGCTTTTTGTATCAGACTATATAATGTCTTCTGTAGCTAATATTGCAGTTTAACTCTCAAAATTTCTAATAACAGAATTGTTCTTATTTTTCTCTCAATTCATTCATTTTCGTTATTTTCTTTTCAAGTCCATAGCTAATCCTTCGATAAGGCCGAGAGTTGAGAGTTGTTGTTGTTCTGTATGATGAATATTAAGCTTAGTGTAAGCTGTTGGTGCAAAGCGGTAAATGGATGTCGCAATAGAAAAGTCTGCAAATTTGCTGGATGAATTTCCAATGGAGGAAGCACTTGTAAAACAGCATAAGCCACGGAATGAGGAATCTAAATGCATCATGGCATTGCGCCAACGGAATCAAATTTTGGTCCCTGTAAATCCATCCAAGTGTTCACCTTATTTAAAAAAAAAATAGTACTTGGCATGCACGTGACACTGTGACAGACTGAATTGCAAAATGAATATAAATGGAACAAGAAAGAAAGTTAAAGAGTAAGAAAATAAGACCTTTGAGTGGCGGCATGGTTTTTAGATTGAGATTGCACATGATGGTGGTGTGTTTTATCTCGGACCTCGACATCTTCTTTGGTTTCTTTTTAGAAATTTATAATATTGACTGAATAGATTGGAAATTATAGATTTTGCTTATTTGTTTCCTTCTTATTTATAGCGAACACAGAGTTAAAAGCCACTCTCCCGACAGAGGATCCACCAAGTTGTCGCGCAGCTTCCTTTGCGAAATCATTTGAAAGTTTTAATAAAATTACGAGACTTTCTTGTTCATTTTTGTCACGCATGCATCCTTTTCCTGCAAATTTTCCGCCAGTGAAAATACAAAGTAAGCCACAATTATTAGTATATTATCTTTTTTACTTTGTTTGGGTACTCAAGAAATACTACTACTCCATTTGGATAACAAGGTAAGATAATTTTTTTAATTTAAAATTATTTTCTTTTAGCTTTCTTAATTGATAAAAGATCATGACTATGAGTTTTTGTTGAGTTTAATAAATGTGTTTGAAATTAGAGATAAAATTCCTAAATTTTGATGATTGAGTTTTGATTTAATCATGTTTATATTGAGTATCAGTTAATTAGTTGTTACTTTAGTTAAGTTTGATAATTTCAGTTATTATTTAATTAATTTTGAATGGATCTAAAGAATTAATGAAACTCCAAGTTGTAGAGATTTAAGGATTTTGTTAATTTTGATATTTGATTAATCATTTGATATTTAGAGTTAAATTGATGGTTTTTATGAATTTATTTGTTAAATTTTATTAGATTAGTAAGAATTATTTAAAACGCCTAAGTTGTAAAATTTGGGACTTCCATTTATCAATTTACTTGTTTTGACCTCACTAATAAAAATCTACATCCCTGAAAGTATGCAGAATATGAGTCACGCATGCATACTTTTCCTGCAAAATTTTCCACAAGTAAAATTTTCCACAAAAGCCGCAACGATTGGTATTCAATTCTAAACGCCATCAATGGGCCGCTTGTTGCATATTCGACAATTTTTAATAAATATTACCTCACCTCCCCTGAGGTTTGCATATCATTATGAATGTGGCTGCATTTCATTTAGTAGAAAATTTTATGAAATTATATATATAATATTTGGTAATTTAAAACGATAATAGCAATTATAATTATATTTTTTAAAGATGTGAGAAGTCATCATCTTTTTTCAGAAATATGAAAGATTCATTTGTTTTGGAAAAAGGATTGAGGATTTTGTAGAAGAGAATCATCCATTCTTACAATATTTGCTAATATATTTTTTATTTTATTTTTTTGGTGATGTGAGTGTCCGAGTCAGTTTATGCGCACCTTACCTAACCCTTGGGGATCTGAAGTTAACGATCGGGTAAATGCTTCAATGGCAACATCGAGTGGAGTTGAACTCAGATCTCATAATTATACATCTAAAGTCTCTATCTCCCATCCAATCACCTATGGGTAGTTAAGAAGCATTTAGTAATGCTCTCGTTTCACATTATCCCATGCAATTAACTCTTTAAAACATGGGAGAAGAAAAAGTTTGAACTTAAAAATATTGATCCATAAGTACTAATTATGATCAATTTAATCTGTTTTTCCTAGCTAAATTCAATATGATTCTTCTGAAAAAATAGCAGAATTATTATAAGAGGATTGGAGGTGCTTACAAAATCAAGGAAAAATTCCCATACTAACTTCTTCGTCTGTATCCTCTACTTAAACTCCTCACATTTATCGAGGCTTTTCCAAGTATCTAGGTTTACTATATTTTTTTATAAAAAATAAAAAGTAAATTGTATTTATTAATTTTTTCAGTTGAATTAGGGGTAATTCGGTATTTAATTAGTTTTGGAATTGAGAGTAACTTGGTTTTATTCGTAGGGGAATTGAGAAGAAATTTCCAATATCTAGGGTTTTTTTTAGTATTTCCAATAAGAAACATACAATAACATAATGGATCCTGGTATAAAACTCTGGAGAAGGAGGTTTGAGAGAATTTTTGAAATATGAGGGGAGATTAGGATGCTATTTTAAACTCTAGGGAGTCACTGGAAAAACGCAAACCTCAGGGGAGGTTAGGTACTAACCCAAATATAATAATACTCATGGAAAGTTTGCATACAAATTAATAAATTAACTTGACACAATATGAATTAATTAATTAAAATAAAAATCAGTTTAAAAAATGCACAATAATTGAAGTTAAATGATACGAAAATTCAAGCTCGCATCTCTTTGGATACAACACTTTGTATATAAATTTTGTATATGTAAAATCACTTAAATACATAAAAATATTTTCAATAAAAAATAATATTTATATATAATTGTTTTTTATATAAACTGACACGGCATAAAATAAATGGATGATTATACGTGTAACAAAAATAACTTATTAAAATATTTAATAAATATGCATATGAATTACATTCATGTTAATAAAAGAGTAATATCACATTAGTTTCCAAATATTAGTTTTTACATTTAAAATTAGTCATTAACTAACTAGGAAGCATTATTAATGGGATTAACATTATTTTCAAATTCATGGATGTGCAAAATTCTACAATGAATGTGGTACCGTTCATATTAATTAAGATAAAAGTTAGATCCCTAACTTATACGGATAACATTATTCATATTTTTAATTAAGAAATAACTTTAACATTATTACAACTATGATCTTATAACGTTACACTAAATTACAATCGTATTACATTTATATTAAGTATGATGTATGCGAGCGGCCAATCTACACTCCACAATTGTATTCACTTTGAACAATAAAACAATTTGCCATCAGTTAAACTAGTGATCAAACTAGTAAACAAAATGAAGTTTGTTTATTCAATGTTAGATTTTACGGTTTGGCGTTGTATAAATATACTATAGTGAATGGTTAGAGAATAAAATCATTCAATTTCTTGAATAAGGGCATTTTTGGTTTTTAATTTAGCAAATGGTTATATGTGAAATATCCAAAATAAGGAAAACCGAAAGCAAACAGTAACATAAAAACATTTTTAAAAACCAGCGTCCCACAGCCGCCACCCCTCCACCACTTGCCGCCTACCCAACCGCCACTTACCGGCCAATCGACGGCGAGGCCCAAGACGCACACGACGTGCAGCAACCCGGCCCTGGAGTCGACTCCTCCGGATATTGAAATAGTGGTCTCACAGTCTTTGTTGCCACCGACCGCCTCACGCTGCTCAACTAAGCACGTTTAAAAAAATTCCGGTAATTTTTGTGTTTTAAATTTGTTTTTGGTAACGATGGTGGCTGTCACGGTGGTCCCGCCGTCGTGGTGGGTGTTTGTGTAGCTGGGTTGTATTGATTTTAATTTTTATACTGAATTTGTTGTATGAATTATTAATTTATTTTATTTTGTTATCACTGATAATCCTATCGATGAAATTTTGATTTTGCTTTTGCTTCAAATTAGACATGGCAGCTAGAGCATGAATAATGAAAAATGAATTTGTTTTAATTTTTATTAAATAATTCTGCATTAACTGACAGGTTCTTAGAACGAAAGTGTCACTTTTGGAAGCTCATTTGCCTTTGATTTTATTCTATGTGGCGTTTAGCATTTGCCCCAACTCTCATAAGAAATCTCCCATCTAAAAGAACCCCAATAAACTCCTTCTCCACTGTTTTGTTTTGTGAAAACACTTTGAAAAAATGCGAATGCTGGATTTTGGGGAGCCATTTTTCTGGGTGGGCTTCGAGTCCTAGCTTGTCTATATGGAGAAGAAAGAAGGAAATGAGCAAAGAGGGTTTGATGGTGGCTAAGGAGCTGAAGCGTCTCCAATCTCACCCTCTACGCTTCGAACGCTTCATCAAGTCCCATGTGTCTCGGTTGCTCAAGTCAGATCTCGTTTCTGTTCTCGCTGAGTTTCAGAGGCAGGACCAGGTCTTTCTCTGCATGAAGGTTTGTTTTAAATCGGTTTTGTTATTCAATTTGGTGTTTCTTATTCAATGTATGTTATGTTATCTTTATTGTTCCAGTGGTTTTCTTTGTATTTCATTGCCTTCAAATTTGGAGTTTTTAAATTTGTATAATAATAATGGTAGAAATAGGATTCTAGTTTGAAGTTTGATCTAAGGATGCTTTCTGGTAGGAATAAATGGGGTTTGATTTCCATTCATTACAATGTCGGGGCGGCTCTAACTCCATTTACGTTTGTAATTCTAGTAGGAGTTGTTTCTTCAGATTATGGGGACATTTCATTCTGTAAGGTGTGCCATTGATTGACAACAAAAGTAAAGCAAAAATATTTAAAATTTGTTTTATTCATTTCTTAGGGGTTTGGTTGTAAGGAAATGGCCTTTTACTACACGCTCACTTTGATTTCTTACACTCCTTCTGGTATGAGTTTGGCCTTCAAAATTCACTTTCTGGGGCTGTCAATTGTTAATGATGATTACAAATTTCAAGCTTACATATTGAGTTGGGGTAGGCAGGCTATCAACAGATAAATTTGGTGAAACAGATTGTAAGTAATGCTTGGCATCTGAGACTAGTGAAGAATAAAGATGTAAGCTGCACTACTTTGAAACAGAGTTGAAACACATAATTACTTTCCTTCTGGTTTTTCTCTTTTTCGTCTCTGTTTTAGAGGAAGTGGAAGGAAAACAATGTTTGTTGTTATACACAGCTGGGTCAATAAAAGAGATAATAAAGAGATCTTTAGTTGTCACCTTGAACATTAAATTAGACGCATGTCAAACTAGGCTCTAACACATGGTAACTATTTGCTGAACTCATCAGAAGCTCAAAACTTGTACACCTTTTCTAATTTCAAAGGTTTATGTTTGTTTTACAGCTATATGATTTGGTGCGCAGAGAAATATGGTATCGCCCAGACATGTTCTTTTATAGGGACATGCTTATGATGCTTGCAAGAAACAAAAAGGTGAATGAAGCAAAGTGGGTTTGGGAAGATCTCAAGAGAGAGGAAGTTTTGTTTGACCAGCATACGTTTGGTGACATCGTCAGGGCCTTCTTAGATAGTGGACTGCCCTCGGAAGCAATGGATATATATGATGAAATGAGAAGATCTCCTGATCCCCCAATATCTTTGCCATTCCGCGTGATCTTGAAAGGGCTAATTCCATATCCAGAATTTAGAGAAAAGGTGAAAGATGACTTCTTGGAGCTCTTCCCTGACATGATTGTGTATGATCCACCTGAAGACTTGTTTGAAGATCAAGAATAGAGAAGGGAAAGTGAACACAATTAGAAGGCGTTGATGATGCATCTTTACTCGGACTGCCAGAGGCATTCATTCTTCAGTAAAGTTTGCCATCACAAAGGGCTGAATGATTTCTTACGTCTTTGCCAGTTGGGATCAGTTGGCTTTCTCCGGTAGATAAACATTATCCAGGTTGCCAAGTCTCAATCCTTGAACCATATCGGGCATTGAGGAATATCCTCACTAACAGCTCCTAAAAGCATGGGCTAGTGCCATGTAATGAATTTTTGACAGACTCATTAGATATCATATAGCTGATTCTAAGGCATAATATTACTTTCAATAGATTTGGCTTAATTGTCGAACAATTAATTTATGTATCATTAGGATGAAGGTGGAATATGAAAATATCCTGTGTCAATTTTATTTGATCAATTTTGGCCTTACTTCTGTTGAATAGCTTATCAAAATGTTAATCCCTTGAAACTTGATTGCTATCCAAATGGGGTTCCCTGCTCTATTGATGCGGTTTCACACATTATTCAAAAAATTAATAAAACATGTTATAGTAAAAGAATTTTTTTCTTAAATTATATGGAAGGTTTTGAGCGGGAAAAATAATATGAATCACCAATTGCCAAAAACCATTGTTTTAAAAACGGGATCAGAGGGCAACCCGTTCTGATGACGGGGTCACGACATTGTTTTAAAAGTCGGATCGTTCGTTGGCCCAGTTAAGAGGCCGGTTCATGGGTTGACCGATCCAACCGAATAAACCGGTCTATCTAACCGGTATATAACAGTACCATCTTTAAACAATTCTATTAATCATTATAAGTTTAAAAACTAGTAAACACATCCCTAAAAGTTACAAGAAACCTCTTTAAGTTTAAAATAATGCAAAAGGACCTCAATTTTATTATTAATTAATTTTTCTCTCTCCCCATCACTTATTCACTTTCATCTTTCACTTTTTTTTCTCTCTCCCCATCACTCCCCGTCACTTTCTTCTTCCTCTTTCTTCTCTCTCTTTTTTTTTTTCTTCCTCTTTTTGCTTCGTCTACTGTAATTTTTCTTTCCTCTCCTCTTTCTCTTCATCTCCTCTTTTCTTTCTTCTAATCTTCTTCTTAGTCTTTCTCGTGTCTCCTCTTCTCTTTCTTCTTCCCTCCCCTTCCTTCTTCTTCTTTGTCAGTAGATTTTAGTGTAAGTGTCGTGAAGAAGCATTGAAGATGAAAATAGAAGATAATGAAACGGTGCTGAAATTGGTTTAGGGATTAGGAATATGAATTTTTTTGGATTAGGCGAACCGTTTTAAGCTCCGGGCCGGTCGGATCGACGATTTTGTACTGTTCTGTCGGTCCATTATCAGTCCAAAACAGGTTAATTAATATTTCCGATTTTATGTTAATCCGGACCGAAGTAAAGGCCGGCTCCCAGTCGAACCGGTCGGTCCGATCCAGGTTTTAAAACAGAGGGTCACAGTTCAACCGGTCTAACTGGTTGGACTGGTGATGTCATCACACATCATGATGATGTCAGCACATTTTAAAAAAAAAAAATTTTTTTTTTTAGATTTCTATTTTTTAATAAGACTGTTCAACATGATTCAAAGTTCAAATTCAACAACAATCCCAACATAATATAAGTATTTAACAATAATTCAAAGATCAAAAGAAGATTAACAACTATTGCAAGAGCAAAATAAAGTTAAATTTGGTCCCCTAGTACAGTTACTGGACCACTTAAATGAAAAATTAAGGAAATAAAGGCAAAATGGGTTACGCAATGCTACCAGGTAGAAAGATTTAATGCTATTATAAATAGAATTTTCAACTCTAAACAATGAGAAAAACGTGATAAAAAGCATCAGATTCAAATCACTTTAAATTATTCCTGTACATTTGAAGGTTAGTGTCTGAATCTTGATCAACAAAATGACTCAACAAGTCATAAAAGCACAGCGTGGAAATTTCAACATTATTGAAAATTGCAAAGATTTTAAAGAGATTATTGATAATTTTTCCGCCCAAAATGTTTTAGGAAAACAATTTCTTGAGGGTCTGCTTGAGAGTTTTGTGGTAGCGGTTATGAGGGTAAACCATCGTAGCGGTTTTGAGGGGTTTTCAGTAGCGGTTTTTAAAACACCCAACCTGTGCTTGGGAGTTTATTTTCCAGCGGTTCTAATAGTTTTTTAAAATGATAAATTTACATATATGCCTATAAAAATACCCCAATTTCAACTAGTATTTGGGAGTTTTTTTTTTTTTTTTTCAATTACCAATAATTAGTATCAAAGTTTCTTCCAACTTTAATTTATTTGTAAGTTCTTTCATTGTATATTATTTAATTCATCACACAATCATTTAAAATCTGTCATTTTAAGAGAATAAATATGTTGTCACAATGTTGGACTTCGCAAATTATCAATATAACAGACGCAACAGCAGTTTTTTGTTCTTTTCTTCAATCAGTGAAGCAAAGCCATAAAAAACAATATTTATTTAACAAACTGACAAGGATTCAATCAATCACCTAAACGCAAATAGAAAGAATCAAATAGAAGAAAAACCACCTAATTTTGTAAAACACAATGAAAAGATTAAAAGAAATGCAATTAAATTGTATACAGCCTGCAGAGGAGTTTACTAGATTAAAAGAACAAAAAGTTGAAGGGGAAAATGAAGAAGAAAGAAAGAAAAACCTTCATATCTCTAATGAAGGATTAAAAAGCCTAAGATAGAAGATTCAAAAGCATTGTAACAGTCATATAAATGTTGAAGATTGGATGGGGTTTGAAGAAATTTTTAAACCAGCAAAGGGATTATTGTATATGAATACTAGTGGAAATGGGGTTTTTTAGGATAAAATTTATAAACCAACCAAAACACCCTGATTTGGGGTGTTTTATAAACCCCTTAAAAATACACTACATTAGTTTTGGGGGGTTTTTAAACCAGTCAAAACCAGTTCATAAAAAATCTAGCAAGTAATAGTTTTTAAACACCTCAAAACCAGTCTAATTAAAAACCCCCCAAAACCAGTGAAAAAAAACTCCCAAGCAGACCCTAAAACATATATATAGGAATATAAATTATTAGTTTGTCCCCTCTCTTCCACTGCCGGCTCCACTTCCAACCTCACTTCCTCTCCCCAATTCCCATAGCTACCCACTTTCTCCGTTTCCTTGCTGCCATCCCCACACCCACTTCCTCCACTTTTGCTCTCCCGAAGTCATCGAAGGCCTTGCAAGGTTGGATTGTGACCTTGCAAAGCCACTATTGTGGCCATGATGGTGGCCTTATGAGGCCACTGTTGCAGCCAAAATGGTTGCCAAGCAAGGCCACCATTACCAATCCCGAGAGCCCGTCCACACAAGCCAAGCTTCATTTTTTCTCAACCCAATCAATCAGAAACAATCATCAAACAATCCAAAATCAAAATAAAAATAAAATAAAAAGCTTTGTTGATTGTTCTTCTCAGTCAAATGGGTTTGACTTGGTTTGGCCGAGTTTGACCACCACGCCCTCCAACCCTACCAATTGTCATGTTCTTCACAAGTCCCTAAATCCCCTCCTCCAATGCCTCCTCTACCACCACCAAAGCCTTCACCTCCACCTATACCTCCAGCACCACCGCCAACATTTTATTGACAATTTAGATGATCAGTATCAGAATCGCGACCGACCTAGTGTAATCTGACATAAATCCTAGCCGCCTTAGTGCAATCTGACCGAAATCACACCTGACCAAGTGCGATTCGGCCTTAGTTGCACTCTGCGAGAGAGGAAGACGTCGTTGATTTCCGGCGAGGGAGGAAGACGTCGTTGTTGATTTCAGAGAGTTCAATTGCGATTTGGGTGGGATTTCAGAGAGAACAGAAGACAAAGTCGAAACCGTGAGAATTTTTGCAGAGAACAGACAACAGAGACGAAGTTTATAAATTTTTGCAGAGAACGGAGTGTTTGCTGAGAAATTTTGGTGAGAAAGACTGAAAGAGAAGAAGATGAGAAAGGGCTGCGTGACTGCATCGCGTATTAGGGATTTTTAATATGTGGATCGGTTTATCTGCTGGTCCGGTTGGACTGGCGGTTCACTGATATTATTCGGTTTTCAACCGGTTTAAAGTGGCTCAATGTATAATAATGGTTTTGAGATTGACTCGAATCGAACATGTGACCGGTTCCCGGTCCAACCGGTTGGACCGGCCAGACCGGTTCGGTTTTTTAAACAGTGCCAAAAACTAGTAAACTACATAAAAAATCTCTCCGCTAAATAAGTGACGACCCCCGAGACGAACATGATGTGGCCGCCGTTCGACAGGCGACCTAGCCTAAAACCGGCTTCTTCGAGGACCAATTCGGCTTCTCTGTTGGTAGTTTACCATCTTTGTTGTCGCTAATCGCCACACTCGGTTGTAACCCACTAACTTTCATCAACTGTTGTAATTTTTTTTGTATTGATTCTTTGGACCGGGACTGGCGGTTCATTGATATTATCCGGTTTTCCACCGGTTTAAAGTGGCTCAATGTATAATAATGGTTTTGAGATTGACTCGAACCGAACATGTGACCGGTTCTCGGTCCAACCGGTTGGATCGGCCAGACTGGTTCGGTTTTTAAAACAGTGCCAAAAACTAGTAAACTACATAAAAAATCTCTCCGCTAAATAAGTGACGACGCCCGAGACGGACATGATGTGGCCGCCGTGCGACAGGCGACCTAGCCTAAAATCGGCTTCTCCGAGGACCAATTCGGCTTCTCTGTTGGCAGTTTACCATCTTTGTTGTCGCTAACCGCCGCACTCGGTTGTAACCCACTAACTTTCATCAACTGTTGTAATTTTTTTTGTATTGATTCTTTGAATTCTCGTGTTACTAATTTTTTGTTGGTCACGATGATGGCGGCTATCTTTGGTGGTCCTACGGTAGTGGCGGTTGTTATGGGTTGAAAGTATTTTCGGAAAACCTCAGGGACGGTTAAGTAATTTTGCACATCTAAAACTTCAACAAAACCCTTTTCATTCTTTGTTTCCTCGAAACATTTTACAAAACACAAAAACAAATTCCACTCCCTGTTTTCTTTGGGTTTCAGAGGCAAGACCAGCAGTTTCTCTTCATGAAGGTTCGTTTTCTTCTCGTTTTCTTTTTTATGGATTTTATTATTTGGTTGAAGTTGAGCTTCTGTTTGGTTTCCAAGAAAATTTTGGTTGATTTTAATTCCTCTTCATAACTGGAAAATAATAATTTAATTTAATGTTTGCTTTTCAGCTTTACGGCGGGGTGCGTAGAAAAATATGGTGCCGCCCAAACATGAAGTTATTCTCGTCAGTCCCATCTCTCACCTCACTATCTGATATCGAAACCCAGTTGAGAGTTCTCTGTGAAAAACCCAATTCTCAATTTGCAGATGCAGTTTCGTTGTTTAACAGAGCCATATGCTCGAACCTCTTGCCATCCGGGTCAGTTTGTAATTCTCTCTTGGAAGCGCTTGTGAAGTCCAAAAATTACGAATATGCCTTTTCGGTTTATAATAAAATGACCCGTATTGATATTTCTCCGAGTTTTAGATCCTTGAGTGGTTTAATTGAAGTTTTCGTGTATACACAGAAGCTTGAATTTTCATTAGGAGTGATTGGGTTGATAATGAAGCGTGGTTTTACTGTGAATGTTTATGGAATTAATCTTATATTAAAGGGTTTGTGTAGGAATAGTGAGGTTGATAAGGCTGTAGTGTTGTTTAGTGAGATTAAAAGAAATGGTGTATTGCCGGATATTTTTAGTTACAATACAGTCATAAACGGACTTTGTAAAGCAAAACGATTGGAGGAATCATTGAGTTTTTTGTTGGATATGGAAGCCACGGGTTGTTGTCCAAGTTTGGTTACATACACCACTTTGATAGATGGCCTCTGTAAGGATGGTTGGGTGGATGAGGCATTGGGAATATTTAAAGAGATGAAGAGGAAAGGTTTGGACGCAGACGTTGTTGTGTATGGTGCCCTTATAAGTGGTTTTTGTAATGAAGGAAGCTTCGATAGAGGGAAGGCACTCTTTGACGAAATGTTGGAGGAAGGAATTTCTCCAAATGTAGTTACATATAGTTGTTTAATACATTGTCTTTGTAAGATGGGGCAAGTGGAAGAAGCAACTTCAATGCTAAATACTATGATGGAGCGTGAGATTCACCCTGATGTTTTTACTTATACAAGTTTAATTGAAGGTCTTTGTAGACGTGGGAGGGCCACTAAAGCTGTTGATTTATTGAATTGTGTGCTAAAAAAAGGTGAAAAACCCAGTGTTATAACGTATAATGTCTTAATAAATGGGTTATGCCAGGAAGGTGTCTTGGATGAAGCTTATAAAATTTTGAAAATGATGATAGAGAAAGGGAAAATGCCTGATGTGGTTTCGTACAATACATTACTGATGGGACTTTGCAAGAATGGGAAGGTTGATGAAGCAGTGGAACTTTTTAATTTGATATTGAAGGATAGGAGATATGTTCAACCGGATGATATGACATTTAACCTGCTAATTCAAGGGCTCTGCAAAGCAGACCGTCTTGATGAGGCTATGGAGATTTATAATGTAATGGCTGAGAGGGGGAGCTCAGGTAATTTGGTAACTTATAATATTTTAATTGGAAAATATCTGATGGTTGGAGCAATTGACAAGGCCTTGGAAATGTGGAAACGCATAATTGAATTGGGACTTGTTCCAAACTCAATAACCTACAGTATCATGATTGATGGATTTTGCAAAATGCGTATGCTTAATGTTGCAAAAGGAATTTTCTGTAAAATGAGAGTTTCTGGGCTTCGCCCTACCTTGTTCGACTACAACACATTGATGGCATCTTTGTCCAAGGAGAGTAGTTTGGAGCAAGCCAAGAGATTGTTTCTTGAAATGAGAAATGCCAACTGTAAACCAGATGTCATCTCGTTTAATACTATGATTGATGGAACTCTTAAAGCAGGAGATTTTCAATCTTCCAAAGAGTTACTTAATGACATGCTTCAGATGGGTTTGGCTGCTGATGCTTTAACTTTTTCCACATTAATAAATAGGGTTTCGAAAGCTGGACAGTTGGATGAGGCCAAAAGTCTGTTTCATAAAATGGTTGATTGTGGTTTTACACCTAATGCCTGTGTGTATGATTCACTCCTAAAAGGTCTTAGTTCAAAAGGTGAAACAGGAGAAATCATTAATTTGATTCATCAGATGGCACATAAGGGTGTTCATCTTGACTCAGAATTAACTTCAACCATCTTGATATGTCTATGTAATATCTCAGAGGATCTTGATGTGGAGAAGCTTTTACCTCAATTTTCCCAAGAAATGTCAAAGAGGACAAGCTTCTCTTGCAATGAGTTATTGTTGAAACTACAAGAGTATCACCCGGAGCTTCTAGGTGCGTATCATTCTTTTTTCAAAACTGAAACTTATTGTATGTTGATGTGCTTTAGTTATCATCTTCTTAGGTAAAACATGTTTCCTTTCCTTTGATTTAGACTTTTTGTACTACTTATAGTGAGCGTTGAAACACTATTCTTTTTCTTTGGTTTTTTCTCACCCTTTAACATGAAAAGTGGGAGGAAAACAATGTTAGTTGTCAGACACAACTAAGTAACAGAACTTGTACACTGACTCTTTTAATATATTTATATTTATATATATACCTTTTGTTTTTTTAATTTCTGAGGTTTATGTTTGCTTTACAGCTATATGAAGTGGTGCACAAAGAAATATGGTACCGCCTAGCCATGCTTCTTTACAGGGACATGCTTATGATGCTTGCAGGTAGTGAAAAATGAATGAAGCAAACTGGGTTTGCGAAAATCTAATGAGAGAGGAAGCTTTTTATATTCAGCATCTCTTTGGTGACATCATCTAGGCTTTCTTAGATACAGGACTGCCCTAGAAGCAATGGATATATATCTGATGATTTGAGAAGATATCCTGATTCGCCAATATCTTTGCCTGGTGTGATCTTGAGAATTGAGAGAAAGATGAAAGATGAATTGTTGGAGTTTTCGCTGACATGATCGTGTAAGATCCAGCTGAAGACTTGTTTGAAGATCAAGAAAAGAAAAGGAAGATTGTGATGATGCATTGCTATTGTCAGTGCAAGAGGTAAAGCTTGCCATAGCATTCTCGAGTAAAGCTTGCCATAGCAAAGGGTTGATAGATTTCTTAAGCTTTTGCCGGTTGGAATTGGCTGTTGACTTCTACAGTAGATAAACGTTATTCAGGTAGAAAAGGCTCACTGTCTGAACATTTGAGTTGCCTTGAGGAATATCTTCATCGTTATTACTGGCTTCAAAAAGCATGGGTCAGTGCCAATTAAATGCATTTTTAATTTACTTATTCGAAAGCATGCAGCTGATTCTAAGGCATTTTATTACTTTCAATAGATTTTTTTTTTATGACCAACTTTCAATAGATTTTTCTTAATGGTCGAATTTCATATCTATATAATTAAAGTGAAAAGATAAAATAAAAAAATAACATCACATTTTGGACTTTCTATGCTTTGGTCATTTAAAAACATGCTGACTAGTTGTAAAATTTTGCCTAGAATCTTTCTTTGAATGGCTAGAAAATGGGATCTTCTTATTCTTCGCTTCTGCAGGAAACTTTTTCATGTCTTCAAGGAGATGCAGAAACGCAAGTTAAGCTTGTTCTTGAATTTGACCCACCTCCCAATCAACAATAATTTACTGTTATCTTTCTATATCTCTTTCTTCCTGCATTGGAAGTTTGAACTTTATCAAAGGGGTTTATTTTATTAACCCCTTTTATGAAACCGTTTAGTATCAAATTCTATCAGGTCTTTTTTTTTTTTTTTTATTTTAAATTTGTAAAGGGGGGTTTTAATGTTTTTATGGGACGGTTTTGACAAAAGTTAATAAAATTTTGACATTGAAAGTTTGCCAACTGACTGTGCCCAGAAGGTGCTTGATGAATTTCCAGAGAAAAATTATTTTGATTGGTGGGTCGCTTTAATAGAAGCATCATTTTCATATAAAGTCAAGTCTTTTAACAAGGCCCCTTTCTATCATCTCACAAGGGGCCACCAATTAGACCCCAGAAGTGGACTATAATTTAAAATAATTAATAAAAGGTAAAATTCATTCATCATTAGTCTTCAAACAGAATTTCTCTTTTTCTTAGTTGCATCCCAAATTATATTTATTTATTTATTCTCATTATCATCTATCATTAAAATATTAATAGCTCATCATCTATGATTCTTTTTAAGAAATGAAAATGTAAAATTTTGCATTAAAAAAATATAAATGGATGGTAGTATATGGGCAATATGATAAGATCCACATCACTTGTACAAATCCTAAACGTTAGCTAAAACAATAGTCAAACCCACCTAGCCGTCTTCTTAAACACATAAATTAAATTTAGTAATCCAAAAGGTTTTTACTACGGGTTTGGTGACCATCTATGTATATGATATGAATATAGATAGATAAAAATACATATTCTTTGTTTTGGGTTCTTGTTCCTTAATGATTTAGAAACGAAGGGATGGATTTAAAATTCAATATATATATATTGCCTTGGTCCTAGTAAACATTTAAATTCTTGGTGCCTATTCCAAGGATAATTATACTATAGGTAACATGTAGAATATTGGCAATTAATACTGGCCTCACATGAGGTTTAAAAAAAAAAAGTAGACACCTAAGTATTAGAACGTAACAAAATGCCCCCAACTTTTATATAAGTAACAGAAGCCTCCCCATGCTTTTGACATTAAATTGTAAACAATAATGTAAAAACTGTAATCATTATTTTGCCTTAGAACAAACATAAACCAATGGTGTGTTACATGTTCTAGGCTTAAATGCATGTATTTTAAAAGTTACAATATTAAATAGATTGATTGACAATAAGGTTGAGGGGTGCTATCATTGTTTTAAGACTCATTATAAAAAATGATTTTTAAGCGTTTTTCATATTCAAGTGGATAAATTATGTCATTTGATTTGATTAATAAATTCAAATGTGAATTTGTGACGATTCTCAATATTGGGTATGAAATAACGAGTATTGCTTTATACAATATGGATTTCAATTCGATAATCTTCAAATTAATAAATTATGATTATATCTTTGTTTTGTATTATTATAGTATACCGTAACATGTTGTCTTTTTCCTTTTCAATGCCATATTTCATCAACGTGATTGCAATTGATGATTTTAACGGTGATTTTGAAAGCAACAAACTTTTTTCCTCACCCTTTAGATAAAAAAGAGTCATCATTAGACGTTAGGGGAGGATGTTGTCACTTTCTAAGACCTTTGGGGTCCATTAGATATCAAAATAACCCTTTGACCCCTGAAAAATCAGAAACCAACTTCAAGTCACTCTTAATTCAGGGACCAAAGTGTCACTTTCTGTTTCTTAGTGAAGAATTAGATGGACCTAACTCCTAAGGGACTGGAGTGTAACGTTTTGCTTTCTTTTCTCTCTGAAAAAGAAAAGAAGAAAGAAGTTAGCTTTGAAAACGATATATAAGCACACGCAAAATCATTTACCTCTTCTTCTACACACCGCTCTCCCTCTCTCTCTCTCTCTCAATCGCCCTCCGTTCCAGCAGATCTTGTCATTATAATCATTACAATGACATCTTGTTACCAGCGGTTCACCTCCGGTCCCGCCGTGTCACACACTACTCTACTTGAATCACGAAAACCTTCATGTACGGCGGTGATTTCATGCCTCTTACGCGGTCAGAGAAATCAACGGCCATGGCTCGTCCTGAAATCGCTGAAAAAACGTTCGAATTTGTACGTGGTGGCGGCGGGAGGACTGTGGGAGAGATCGGAGGGGGAGGAAGCGGCGGTGCAGAAGAGGAAGGCGGGGACGTGGTCGTATGCGGTGGAGAAAAGGAGGAGTAAAGATGAAAGGAGTAGGAAGGTGGAAGTGGTGGTGGCAGCGGCGGTTACGGTGGTCCTGGGCGTTGGAAATCGAGTGTTGTATAAACTGGCGCTTGTTCCTCTTAAGCATTACCCCTTCTTTCTTGCTCAGCTTGCTACTTTCGGGTACCTAATAATTTTATTTCTCTGTTTTACTATTTTTATTAATTAGTGTTTCCATTATATTTTTTTTATATTAATTTGTATAGTATGAGTTTTATTTAAATATTCAAAGAAGAGAATTTATTTTATTTTATTGTATTAATAATGATATGAAGTATTATATAATTATCGTTAGGATTTGTTATGTACATGTACTAGCGTAAAATTCAGAAAATAAACTTTAATAAATGAAAACTGAATAAATAAATATAAATAAATAAACCAATATGAATTTGAGGGTCTAAATTTAGAATTATAATTTAGTGGATATATTTAATTTGAAAAAAAAAAAATGGCTTGATCTACTTAAGAAATGGACAAATACTCTAAACTCATATCTTGCACATGTCTTAGTTGTTCTTTTACTACAAAAACGTGTAGCCTTGTCGCCTTCTATTTCTCATTTTCAGTTTTATTTTTATGGCTCGTTGAAAGTTTTTGATTTAAAATTATATTTATGTTTTCCTTTCGAAATATTTCTTTTTTAAATTTGTTTGATATAACATCACAATTTTTATGGTTTAAATGGGTCAGCCAATTGATTAGGACTATAGTAGTGTGGTTTGCCCCTACAAAGTTAGGGTTATTATAGGTTTTGACGGGACTCCAGTTGCAAATAAATTTGGGTTTGTAAAGTAAAGAAAATAAGAAAATATTAATATAGAGAGTAAATCTTTAGTGATGACATCATATCATAGGATTGAAATGATATTTTTACTATTAAAATCCAATGATATATATATTTTGGAGAATTATTCTTAGTATAGACTTTATAACTTTAGGTGTGATGGTGTAGTTTATAAGAAGAAAGAAGAATATTAAAAAAAAAGAAACGAAATAAAAATAGAAAAGCATTATAGGGTGGTGGTGCGTGGGTCCAGTATTGATGAAATCCATGGATCTAAAAGGACAAGTCAAATACGTTTGTGAAATGCAACTTGAAATTCTCCTTTTATATAATAATAATAATTGGTACTATCTTTTTAGGTAGTATTATTGTGCTTGTGTTGTGGTGGGACGAGTGCCTGCCTCGTGGCACGTGTTCCCCTGAGCCTCTTTTGTCTTTTAAAGACTTTTATGGCTCTTTCTTTCGGTTGCGGTGTGGTCCCGACGGGAACAAGCTTTTACCTCGTATTATTTTATAGTTAAATCATGGGATTATTGATGACAAAGCAGCCCTTGTGGTTTCTAAAGTCGAATTAAAGTCCCTTGTACAAGAGGGCGTTTGTAAAAAAACAAAAATCATATTTACTATCGGAAATATGTTTGATATAATATTTAAAAACTGTTTTTACAGTTGAAAGCATCGATACCTGATTTTATATTATTTTTTAGAATTGTGCTTGAAAACGGTTTTTGAAAATATTTTAAACAAATATATATATATATTTTACAGTGTTGTGTGTGTTTCAAGTGACAGAACAGACTTGAATGCCAATAAACTTTGTGTTGCTCTTGAGATCACAGGGACCTTTATGTCTCAAAATCAAGGTCAGGGACTTTAATTTCTTCCTTAAATCTTTCATCCCATCAAAAGATTAGTATTCTTTGAGGATCTTTTAGTACTATATACATTAAAATGACTCAACCATTAAGACGCTTTATTTGCTAGGTTTCTACATAGCTCAAGGCATCTATAGCCTTTTGTGGACTATTTTGTTACAAATTACAACAAAAATGCATGCCTGACTAGAGAATAGAAAAACAGGACAACTCTTCAAATTCATAATGATATTGTAATTTAATTGCCTTGGAAGCTATGGTTGACACAGATTTTCATGTTTAACTGGAAACTGAAATTATGTTTTTTTGTTTCAGTTATGTTGTTGTATACTTTTCTATCTTGTATCTTCGTTACCATGCCGGCATTGTCACAGATGAGATGCTTTCCATGCCAAAAGCTCCGTACTTGTTAGTTGGTCTTTTGGAGGCTCTTGCTGCTGTTACTGGAATGGCAGCTGGAGGTAATTTCCTCGTATCTTTTTTTGTCCGTGCTCTGTATTTCTAGACACATTATTCACTGCTTCACGTAATAGTTCTTCAGTTACACTTTTAATTTGTTTTTAACTGCTAAATTAATAGGCATGAGATACTTTATTATTTTGTGTTACATGAGTTGTATTGAATTCTGACGTGTTGTATTTGTTTTCTGGTAACTTGGATCAGCAATTCTTTCTGGAGCATCAATTCCCATTTTGTCTCAGGTTAGAAGCATTTAGTGACTGGTTTTAATTGCTAAAGCCAGTAGTTCACTTTCTGAATGGCCGAGTCCATCTGATCGTAGGCTCTTTACTTACATTTACACAAATTTATTTTTGTGATTATATTATGTTATACAGGTTTTTAGTTCAGAGTGTTAGTCAAATTTGTTGATGTATTTAAGCTTTTGAGGACATGAGTTTTATTTGACAACTTCATTTTGCAAATGATCCTTTTTGCAGACTTTTCTTGTATGGCAAATTCTCTTATCCATTATTTTCCTTGGGAGAAGATATAGAGTCAACCAATTACTTGGATGTTCTCTTGTAGCCATTGGTGTAATCATTACTGTAGCAAGGTTGGCTATTTCATTTTTATACTATTATATGAAATGGAGTCTGAAAAATTTGTAATTAAAGTTGCATATTAGTAGTTATGTATAAAAATCCGTAAGGTCATCCTGACTCAAGTTCATGTCCTTGTAAAAATATGATAATCATTGCTCTTATAATTGAGATTAGTATTTGGTTTAACTTCTAGTGTTCACTTCTGCAGTGGATCTAGTGGTCATTCATTCAAGGATGTTGGTATATTTTGGAGTATTCTGATGATAATTTCTTTTCTCTTGCAAGCTGCTGATACAGTGCTAAAGGTTAATAAGATTTCTGAACGATAGTTAAACTTGTCCAAATTTTCTCTTGTATCACATTCACCAACTGGCAACACCTTTTTCTTCCATTTGTTTTGTAGGAAATAATCTTTATAGATGCAGCTGAGCGATTAAAAGTATGTATTACACTGGCTGAATTCAAGTATATCTTTATAGATTTATATAGAAGTTCCACTTTCAAAATATCTTGCCAGACTGATGTTTGGATTATACCTGGGTGATTTAAAAATTACTGCTTTGCATTTGTTACAGGGAGGTTCAGTGGATCTATTTGTTGTAAATTCCTATGGATCTGCATTTCAGGTAGGTATCCATTAGGAATTAATATTTTTGGTTCTTGTGGCTACACAAAATTGCAGTTCACCAATTTCTATTTCTTTTTTCATTGCAAATCTGGCGGGCTAAAATCTTTGCATCGATTAATACAGGCTCTGTTTATATGCATTTTGCTACCATTTTTGTCGAAGTTATGGGGTGTTCCATTTAGTCAACTTCCAAACTATCTTAGAGATGGTGCAGCCTGCTTTCTGAACATTGGTACTTTATCAAGTGGTAAGTTGTCATTTGTTTGGCAAGCTATGATCTCTCTTATAACTTTCTTGCCATACTAGAGCTAAAGGTTGCATAAGGCGATGAAACATATTTGATGGCATGCAACATCTAGCTAGCCAAAGTGTATGCATCTAATTCTCATTTATAAAAAATCTCATGTCAAGGAACGAAGAGGCATATGTTGTTAAAACTTTTATGGGCATCAGATAATCTCACTTTTCACTTATTTAGACTCGGTAAGTCAGTATTTGCTTCATTTTCAACCAAAATGGTTTTAGAACAAATAGTTTTCAGCTAAGTCGGATGATATAAAATGCTTTATGGGCTATCTTATGAAATATCAACTTGACATTACGAGTATAATGCTGAGTTATATTTAATAGTAAAAATAAGAAGAGAGATGTCATATATTAGGTTTTAAGGTTTTGAGAGTGAGGACAATTATAATTCCATGTGTTCCAACTAAAATTTGAATACATATTGGCAGTGATGGTCTAACAGCAGGAGAAGAGGATTTATAAGAACAGAACGGATATAACAACTACTTGCTCTTTGTAGGCTGTGTTGTCATCCAGATTAGTTCTTCTTTCCTGCTTTAGAAACCTTTCTGCTGAAATGATACTGCATATTAACTTCACTGATTGACTGTTGTAAATTCTTCGCAATTTGTTTGTGTAGGATGTGATGGTGCACCTCTGCTCCCTATACTGTTCGTTCTTGTCAACATGGGTTTTAACATATCATTGCTGCATCTCCTCAAGATTTCTTCAGCAGTAGTATCCTCCCTTGCTTCCACATTTTCAGGTATGCAATTCATTTTATCTATTTCAGTCTTTGTCCTGCAGAAACAAAGCCTTGGATAAGTTCCAAGTTCATCTTTAGTATACTATCATCTTTTAGAAGGAAATAAAGGTTACAATTGCATCATGCTCCTTCGGTCCAACAGTGAGGTTTAGGGGGCATTTCAGGATTCCTTTTAGTATGAAACATTTAATGGAGCTAGAAAATATGTCAAAATTACTTGACAATCCTGAGCCAATGACCACAAAAATTCACCTTAGATGACAAATGTTAGAAGCTACTGATCCAGCACAAGGATTGAGTCAAAAGTACCCTGTCTCAAGAAGTCAATGGAAGTTGAGTAAAGTGGCATTCAATAAGCAATACGACAATCTGCTTTGTCCAAAGCACGAATGTTTGCGTCACATCATCAGCACTAGGTTAAGTGAAATAGAGTAAATCCAGTATGTCACATCACTACCCTGAAAGTTCTTGAGTTTCCATATAACATTTGGGTGCTTTACAAAGAATGAAGCGTATTGAACTGTTGGACATAGGAGCACAGTCACAGAAGTTGATAGTTTGTTTTGGTTTATTCACCATGGATTGTTAAAATTAATAAGTTTGATTGCTTTTTACATGGCAGTGCCAATAGCAGTATACGTCTTCACATTGCCGTTACCATACCTTGGCGTTGCATCGTCCCTCCCAACCGGCTTTGTTGCAGGAGCAATCATCCTTGTAATGGGTTTGCTCATCTATGCCTGGACTCCAAAAGTGAGTTCTTATAGTGCCTCTTCTTCCTCATCTATTACCAGTTAACATATTAATAAATCATCAGTAGCATCGCCATTTTCTAGCTCAGAAACTGGTGCAAGCTAATTCCTCAGTTAATCCAAGGAACAGGAAGAAGATTGTTGTTATTATAATTGTAATTTTTATTGAACTTAAATTAGCTAGTTTTTACTCTTCATCGATCCTCGATCGATGTGTAAGACAGTAAATCATCTCAAATAATAATAATAATAAAAAATAAAAAAAAGGTGGCTCAAAAAATTTGCTTGACCCACTTTGACAAATACAACAATTGTAGGGCTCAAAAAATTTAGAATTCAATGTGGTTGGTTGTCATTTATGTGTATTTGACTTCATGTTTCATTCCTGAAAAAGTGAAGGAAATAGAAGAATTGAAAATTCTGGATTTCTTTTCTTTAATGTTCTATTTCCATGACATAGAATGGAACAATTACAAAAGGAAGTGTCTATATTGAAGATTCATAACATAAAACGTGAAACTAATATTATAAATAGCAGATATATTACATTAACTCACTATTCATAACATGATAACACAGCTTGATACTCTATAAAAGAGCTTGCACTGCAAAGTGCAAACCTCCTTGAGAATGATGTTACCAGAGCCGCTTGATCCAAATGTTGCTTCAGACACATCAATGGCACAACTAAACATGCCTTAAAATAAAGTATTCATAGACTCATTTAACAACTTAATCACATAATAAACGGTTTATTATCATAAATGTTCCTCAACGATCCTTTAATTTTATCAACACTCATTGTTTTTATAAGGTATTACATATCCATTTAGTAGAAAAATTTGTAATACTGAGTGTTCTTAAACGATCATTTAATTTTATCAATACTCACTGTTTTCTTAAAGTATTACTATTACATACCCATTTAGTAGGAAAATTTATAGTACTGGGTGTTCTTAAATCGATCGTTTAATTTTATTAATACTCACTGCTTTAAAAAAGTATTACATACCCAATTATTAGGAGGGTTTTTCATACTTTCTGGTGTCGATTTAATTAAATGATCTACTGCAGCCATTGGAGTCAGCAATTTGAGAAGGCCAAAATCGCCCAATGCCTTGCCCATTCACCCAATCATGCCCTTTTCCCGTTCCTTCAAAGTTCAATACCACAGGGTCTATTCTGAAGGTCGTCTGAACCCAAATAAAATCAATGATTATCGATTCTCAATGCATTAAAGACCAAAGATATTTGAGAATCAACAATCAATCACTGGTCTTTGATCCGTACGTTAAAATTTTTGTAACTTTCATACCTTATACCAAGGCATGAGTCTACCAAATATTCAACCCAACCTTCGTTCACACATAATAAAATTATCATATAAGGGGATAAATCAGTTCAGATTAAGTCAAATCTGATAAATCTAAAATCTACATTTATCAGATTTGACTTAATCAAAACTACAATTAGTCTGCAAAAATAAAATTGCTGAAATGGAAACATATATATTCTCTGATTAAGTTCCCAGGCATAACACCTTATAACTTCAATTGCTTGATTAAGCAATTGACTGGACCCTCTGCTATTCCAAGTAAAAATATTCTCCATAATTCTGCCACATAATAAGAATTTGTAGTTTATTGTTAATAAACTGTTTACTGATGCCAAACAATGAGATCTATAGGAGAAACGACTATAGCACTCTAGTTAGTGATAAACTATTTAAAAATTTAATTACAAATACCCTTCTACGTTAAACCTGTCACATTGTCGTTAAGTTTGCAAAACACTTTTTTATAAAATTAAGGTTATCATTTTATTCTAACATTTTCTTATAAAACCGAAGTTACCATTTCACTCATCTATTACAAACAAAAACATATCAGAATAATCTATGATTAGGGGTGAGCATGAAAATAGATTCTAATCAGAACCGGCGAGTACCCGGGGTCTCGATTCCGAGTAAGACCCGGAACCGACCCTTACAAGGTAAGTTCCAGTTTTAAAAAATAGGAACTAGGAATCGGAACTAGGAACTTGGAATAGGGTACCCTGCAAGGAATCGATAATAGGGTATCCTACAAGGGACCGGAAAAAGAACCGGGGTTTATATAACTAGTATACAACATTGGGGGGTTTTTTAAATTTTACCCTTAACCTAAACCTAACAATTAAATGCCCAAATCAATTTTAATTTGTCATAGACTATATATTGAACATTTTGGATTTTGGATTTTGGACATGAAGAAGCTATGAATAATTTTAATGTATAGTCTTACACTATTTATTACAATTATTTGAAATATGGAAATTAATTAATAAAGAAAAGGTTATATTGTTATAGAATATTAAACAAATGGGGGTGTATTTGTAAATTTTACAGGTTTTTTTTGGTTATTTTGTAAAGTTACGGGGACTAATGAATTATCTAGGGTACCAGAACCGATCGGTTCTGGTTTCTGTTCCTCCAAAAATTCCAGGGTACCCGGACCCAATCACCCCTATGACTATGATATATTTTCAAAATTTAAGGGTAATCTATGATAAAAAGTAGGGGTGTTCGGTTCCGGATACCCTGCACTTTTTGAAGGAACCGAAACCGGAACCGACTGTTCCTTGAAATTTGGAACCAGAACTGGAACCAACGGTTCCAGTTCCTAGGTACCCAGAACCAAAACCTGTAACAACGGTTCCGTTCTGATTTTGGATACCCTGTAAAATTACATGACCTCCCAAATGTTTTTAAAATTGTAAAAAAACCCTTAAAAACTTACAAATACCCCCCTCCCACCTGGCACTTGTTAACAAAAATAAAATTACAAATTATAAATTCAAAATTACAAACTCCATTACTTTGTAAAGGTAGATTCTCAAAAGTCAAACCAACTTACTTTAAATGTTATTAAATATAAATATAAATATATTCACATTACTTTTTCTACAAAAGTTTTTATTAACCCCCCTAATCTTTAATTTTATTTTATATTAGTCTCGATTCCTGGTTCTTGGTTCCGATTCCGGTTCCGGTTCCGGTTCCTAACTATAGGAACCGGAACCGGAACCGCACAGTAACGGTTCCAAAAATTTGGACCGGAACCTATCAATTGACGACTGGTTCTGGGTAAGAACCGGAACCAAACCCAGGGTACCCACCGGTTTTGGTTCCAACCGATTCTTTTGAACACCCCTAAATTAAAAAGGTACAAAACTTGTTATCCGAATGTAAATTTGGAAAATTTAAACGTAGTCTATGATATTCTTCTGTGAAATATTAAGCTGTGGTTGGTTAATCACGATAACCCCCTGTGATTTATTAACTCTTTTGCACAGCTGCTTTCCCTCGACAGTGAGTTGCAGGAGTCCATCACACGGTTTATTTATTCACACCTTCAACCTCAAGCTCTCAGCAGTTTCGCTCACTCTGTCTCTCTCGAAATTCGATTCAAAAACCAGAAAGTAACAATGATAAGAACTACTTATCTATTGCCTGTAGCATCACCAGCACTCTTTGCTCTCAAACAAGCGTTGCTTCCCACTCTTAATTTCTCTTTTTCACTTTCAAATTGTCACCAACTCTCCACTCTTTCTTCTCTCCAAACCTTTCTCCCCAAACCCTTCAAACCCTCTCCACTGCGGAGCCTGAGACGGCCCCAGCCTATGGTGGGTCGTTTTCAGTGTCCTAAAGGTAATGTTTTGGTCCTTTTGTGAAAATCCATTCGCTATTTTTATTTTTGTTAAGTGGTTTTAGTGTTTGTGTTGCATTTCAGCTTCGTTAAGTGGTGGGAATGGTAGTTCTGAAGGTGGTAGAGAAATTTTGGTGCAGCACTTACTTGTTAAAGAAGATGACCTCAAGCTTTTGTTGGAGCTTCAGCGGAGGATTTCTGAAGGTAAAAATCAGTCTTTCAAGTGACTTGAACTGAAAATTTCTGACTTTGTTAAAATAGAAGGAAACGAAACGAAATTTCAGTTGTGTAAATGATAGAAGACGTGCACAAGTACATAAGTCAAATGCAAAGTGAGATAAAATTTCTGTAGGTTTTCTGTTTTGGATTTTGTTTTGTTATTACTATTCTGATTTTTCATTTATTTATTTTTTATTTTGTGAAGGAGAGGATTTAAGTGACCTTGCTGTTGAATACTCAATTTGTCCATCTAAACAAGAGGGGGGAATGCTTGGTTGGGTGACAAAGGGGCAAATGGTATGCTGAAAATGAGAAATTTTATCTTTATAGTTTGTTGCTTTGTTGGTGGCTATATATAAAGAACCTTGACGATTACACAATTCAATGTGATATGATTGCTATTCAATCTTTCTTTGATTCACGCAATGAGAGTAGGACAAATTCACTATTGTTGCAAAATCTACTAAAGCATTTAAGATTAAATAGCACTTTAATGGTTTTGAAGATTATTATACAATCTTCTTTCTTCATTTCACACATGGGAAATATTATTAACACACATACTTTTATCGCACGAATTGCGGAAAGTTCTTAAGATTATATAGCATGCATAGAACAGTGAAGCTCAGGTAAGTTTCTTAATTGACTACTCTTGTGAGCTGTACTAAACTACTTCAATTTTCATGTAAAAGCTTTTGTGTTCTAGTATCAGCAAAACTCTATTTAGTCAGTTTGAAGTTTCTTTAAATGTTTCAATAATGAGGACTGAGTATGCTAGTGTATTCGTTTACGGGATATCGGTGAATGTTGCATTTTGTGGTCTAGGTAAATGCTGCATTAATTGAGCAACATTTCTTCACTGATACAGCATTCTCTGATGTTTGCCTTTGTCTTCTAGGTCTAGATCTTTGGATTGCAAGGAACATTTACATAGAGGAAACATATGAGCACCCCTCAATTCTTTTCATTTTCAACTGTAAATATGGGTTACACTAATTTGAGCACCTAGATACATGCACATTAGTTCAAGGGGTTATCTTACTTTTCAGTATGGTTGACATTTGACAGTTCATACATTGTAAATTCACCTAGGTCCCTGAATTTGAGGAGGTTGCATTTAGTTCCCCTTTGAACAAAGTTGCAAGGGTTAAAACTCAATTTGGATGGCACTTGTTGCAAGTTCTATCTGAGAGGTATGCCTTAGAATCTTAGTTGAATATTGTATTTGTTAGACTTAAATATTGATGTTTGATAGCTTAAACATTTGGATCAAGCGATAACTTAATAGTGCTTGATGAAATGATGCAGATGCTAGCTCTTGCTTTGTCTGTGCTAATGTCTTTCTGCATCTTTCATTTTTGCTGCCAGGGAAGAATCATCTCTTCAAGACATTCAGCCTGATGAATTTCATGTAAAAATGCAAGATCCTGATTTCCTTGAGGAGGCACAATTGATTGATGTTCGAGAACCTGATGAAGTGTATGCTCTCGTGTTCCATTTTGATTCTCCGGCTTGACTTGCTGCACATTTACTTAGTTTAGTTACTTCTCTAGTTTTAAAGATGACTGCAATGCACTCCAAAGTATTCGTACGTTTCTAACTGTTCGTAGTCCAATAAATTGTTTGAAGAAAATTAATTTTTGAAGTATTTTATAGGACTGGGAAGCATATGTTTAAGTTACTATGAAAAAGAGGGAGTAATTTGGGAAATATGCAATTGATCATAATATCTGCTGATGCATGTTCAAAAAGGATTGTGAGTTATAACCAGTAGTTGCATTTCCGGAACATTTATAATTCTCAACTGAACAAGTGATCTCCCAAAAGCTTTATCTCCATGTAAGTTGATGGGAACTAAATGGATCTTAGAGAGATTTTTCTGCATAAATCCAATAAGTGAATTTTTTTATGACGGTAAGAAACAAAATTGGCAACTTGCTGTAGCTGACATGTTACACTACAGGAGCTATGTATACATACATGTTTCTCTGTGGGAATAATGGCTTTGTATATTTTGCCGCTTTCTTCATAATTTCTAATATTTTCCCTTCTTGATTATCTCTGTTTTATGTCTTCACCACTTTTTGATCCTTCTCATATGACAGTGCCCAAGCTTCTTTGCCAGGCTTTAAAGTTCTTCCCCTCCGCCAGTTTGGGACCTGGGGACCTGATGTAACTACCAAATTTGACCCTCAGAAGGATACATATGTAATGGTGTGTACACTTCTAATCAGTGTTCAAAGATTTCCTATTTTGTCTTTCCCTCCTATACTGCTTGTGTATTTGTCGTTAGTATCAAGAGAATGCTCTGAAAGTTTCGTAAGGTGTTTTAAGAAATTTTGCCCTCCTCCCTCCAAATCCTCCTTTGTTGTATTGAAACCTTATCTTCTTCATGAATTTCTCTTGATCATTTCCTCCCTTGTACGTTTGAATGCCATTCAAAATTTGGTATTTTTTTTCCTTTTGATTTTATCTTTTTATTAATAAAATAAATTACCTTTCAAGTCTCCTCCCTTTCACACCAATGCCATTATTTTAGATTGCTGAAATACATGTTATGTGCAGTGTCACCATGGCATGCGGTCATTACAGGTTGCCAAGTGGTTGCAGACACAGGTAAAGCCCTTTCCGTTTATAGATTCGTTTCCAATGCACATGGAAAATGCTATCTCCAAAAAATGACTATATATTTCAATGTTGAGTTTGAATATCTCCATAGTGCTTCATTGATAATTTGCAATTCTCCCTTGTGCCATTATTTCTTCCTAGTCTTTTACTTTGCTGTTTTTTTGACATATTATTGCATACGTGTATGTCTTTGTAACCGACAATTGTCTTCTTGTTATTTGTTATCTTATTATCAGTCTTTTTATTTACTTATAGTTGACATGCTAGAAACATTTCTAACTAAAAGTTAGATAATACATAGATTAAAATGAATTTATATACTGTCACGGCATTATATTTTTTTTATTTTACTACGGTTTTCAATGGAGTTCTGACCTTGTATCTTGGTTATTTCAGGGCTTTAGGACAGTATTCAATTTATCAGGAGGAATACATGCATATGCTACCAGGGTTAATCCATCAATTCCTACGTATTGACACCGATGAGTTTTCTAATCTCCCAATAGAGTCATCGTACAACACTTATTTTTTGTTGAGAACCATGCGCAACAGATCATGTCCTCTTTATATGTAATATTCCTACATAGTAAACAGTGTTCTGAACTTTAGCGGGTTTATAGAGATTGAAGTTGTTGGGATTGAATTAAAATGGAGTGAGGGAAGACTAAACTCGGATTCACAGAGGCTGAAAGAGTTGCGATTGAATGAGACTATTAGATGAGTACAAGCAAAGAAACTCAGATTAAATTATTGGAAAAAGAAATATATTGTAACTGATCAGCTTTGCCATACATTTTAACCATATATTTACTTTCTTAATGAGATTTAGATTATTGATTGTGATGGTGTGTTGATTGTCTCTAATTCCTCAAGTTGGTAAGTCCAACCATGTATCTTTTATGATCTCTTATGCAATGGGAATGCAATAAGTTGCAATAAGTATGCTAGTTTAACTGTTCTAGTATATGAATGAAAGTACCGCAATCGGAATGTTTAGCTAATGATACAAGTTGACATGAAATCAACAGATATATTCATACAGCTTTAGAATATGGGATAAAATGATAGTAACCCACCCAACAGAAGTAGTATTATAAATGATTATAGAAAACATTTTTACCAAATTTTGGTTGCAGCCTTGTGATTGTTGTAACGTTAATTCCACAAAAAACTTATACGGTTCACTTGAATAAACAACAATTTATAAGATTATAATTAGACTGGTGTGAATCAGGTTTATGTTTACTATGTTAATACAAAAATCTTTTCCCGGAAAATCCTCTCAACCCATGTCTCAAAACACAAATCAATTACTTCCCATCAGTTTGCCTGACCCTTTCAACAACAATTTTAGTCCTAAAATTCCTCACTATCAATCCTCCCCAATTTCTACACCAAAAATCCAACCTGTTTCCTAATCCTCCTCTTTCTTGTCTCTCTCTATACATGCCTTTCTTTCTCTTTGCAACGATTTCTTCAACCCCCATAAAGAAACATTTGATCAAACTAGAAAAAAAAAAAAAAAAAAAATATTAGCCCATCTCTACAACAAACCCATCACCATCATTTTTAATTAGTATAATCCTCCGTCTTTAATCCTTTCCGCTTTTAATATGGGCAATTGTTGCTCTCATGGTAAGGCTGATAATGGAAAGGACAAAGGCTCTTCTATTCATAATGCTGGCAATGCTGCTGTGGATAGTTCCACAGCTCATCCTAAAACTGCTCCTCATTCTCCAAATCCTGGTCCCAATTCTTCCTCCAAGACTTCCAGCAAGGGTATTGGTGGCGGAGGAGGCGGCGGTCCTATCGGACCCGTGTTAGGCCGTCCGATGGAAGATGTTAAGTCTACTTATAACATCGGAAAAGAGCTCGGGAGAGGGCAGTTTGGTATTACACATTTGTGTACGCATAAGGCGACGGGTGAACAATTTGCCTGTAAAACTATAGCGAAAAGGAAGCTTGTTAACAAAGAAGATATTGAGGATGTTCGGAGAGAGGTTCAAATTATGCATCATTTAACGGGTCAGCCGAATATTGTGGAACTCAAAGGAGCATTTGAGGATAAACAATCAGTTCATTTGGTGATGGAGTTGTGCGCTGGAGGAGAGCTCTTTGATAGGATTATTGCAAAGGGTCATTACACTGAACGCGCCGCTGCTTCCTTGTTGAGGACGATCGTCCAAATTTTGCATACTTGTCATTCCATGGGGGTCATTCATCGAGATCTTAAACCCGAAAATTTCCTTCTTCTCAACAAGGATGAGGATTCTCCTCTCAAGGCCACCGATTTCGGTCTCTCTGTGTTTTACAAGCCAGGTATATAATCTCCGAATTTGATGCCTTCATGTTGTTACAATAATTGTATATAATGTGACGCGATTTCGGTCTCTCAAAGGCCATATTTCTTGTAATGTTAATAGCTGTTGGTTTTATATATTAATAGGAGAAGTATTCAAGGATATTGTTGGCAGTGCATATTATATTGCACCTGAAGTTCTGAAGAGGAAATATGGACCTGAAGCTGATATTTGGAGCGTTGGGGTCATGTTGTACATTCTTCTTTGCGGTGTTCCTCCTTTCTGGGCAGGTAAATGATGTTTCGGTTCCAATTTATAGCATGGAAATCGATAAATTTGTTTTCAGTTTTTCATTGGACGGTCTTACTATATCAACATAATGACGTGGTGTTTTTCTTTGGTAGAATCGGAACATGGGATATTCAATGCAATATTGCGTGGTCATATAGACTTTTCAAGTGATCCATGGCCTTCAATTTCACCTCAAGCAAAGGATCTTGTTAGGAAGATGCTCACAACTGATCCTAAGCAGAGGTTGACTGCCATTCAAGTTCTAGGTAATTTCGGGACGTCGATAACAAAATTTGTCAGCTAGGCTTGATATTAAGAACATTATGTGATGAAATTTTACATGATTTTTACAAGGTCATCCATGGATCAAGGAGGATGGAGAAGCACCAGATGTTCCTCTTGATAATGCAGTTTTGAGTAGGCTCAAACAGTTCAAGGCAATGAATAAGTTCAAGAAAGTTGCTCTCAGGGTACTAAATTATTATTATTTTTTTATCTAATTAATTAAGATGAGATTGATTAAATTCACATCGTATATATAATATGAGAATTTTATCGGTAGATCATCGCGGGATGTCTATCAGAAGAAGAAATCATGGGGCTGAAGGAGATGTTCAAGAGCATAGACACTGATAACAGTGGAACTATTACACTTGAAGAGTTGAAACAAGGACTTGCTAAGCAAGGAACTAAGCTTTCTGAATATGAAGTTAAACAATTGATGGAAGCTGTAAGTTAATTATAATTAGTGAGAATTAAGCGAGTTAATTGTTTTAATTTCCCTTTTGTTTTTATGAAAAACCATAGGCTGATGCAGACGGTAACGGTACCATAGACTACGATGAATTTATCACTGCAACAATGCATATCAACCGAATGGATAGAGAAGAACATCTTTATACAGCCTTCCAACACTTTGACAAAGACAATAGCGGGTGAAATGAATTAATATATGATTTTATTACTTCAAACTGTAGTTTAATAGCTTCATAATGGTTATTTTGTTGTGTGGTATATGCATAGGTTCACACCACTGAAGAACTAGAGCAAGTTCTCGAGAATAGGGATGAGTGATGGAAAAGACATAAGGAATCATTTCTGAAGTTGACAACGATAATGTAAGCAACCAATAACGTCTTATTAATGTTGATTCAAATGCTGATGATATTATGTTGCAGGATGGTCGGATCAACTGAGGAATTTGTGGCGATGATGAGAAAAGGAAATAAAGATGCAATCCGAGAAGCGGCGTGAATCTTATTTGTTTGAATTACAATGGTGTGTGATGGGGAAAGAAGCATAAGTACTTACGTGTATATTGTGCATGCCAGTAAATTTTCAAAGTCTAGAGGGAGATGGCTAAACACTAAGATTATTGGCAGTTTTTGAGGGTTAATTTATAATAAGATGTTATTGTTGTTGTTTATTCGTTTTATCATATGGTTTACGGTCTTTAATTTAGATCATTTTCAAGTGTGCTTTATAGTTTTACACGGCAAGGGTAATCATACGGTAAAAGTATATTATTAATTTCCTTTAGTCTGTAAATTTACATTGAGTGTATAACTTTGCGTTGATTTTTGTTGTAATAAAACCCAAGATTATACCTATCAACTTCATCTTGTGTTGCTTGCTTATTTTTTTTTTTTTGGATAACAAGCCTTAAATAGAAAAAGAAAGAATGTATAATGAGGCCTATAAAAAGGTGTCAGTCTCCACGTGACAAACCATTGGGATAGGACTAAAAACAGAACCTAAACAAACCAAGAGAGTAACACAAAAACTTAAAAACCAAAACACATCCTATCTAGGACAATCTCTAGGTAAGAAAAAAAAGTACACGCAAAAAATGAACTATCTAGCAAGGAAGCCACCAAAACCTTCGACAACCCTAGGTGAGAAAAAAAAAAAAAAAAAAGTAAACGACTTTTTCCCACCCAAGGTTTGCCTTATAACTCTTCCCCACCCAAAAAGTTTCAAAATACCTTTCCCACCCAATCGTCAAGTGTTAGTAGTTTTGTAGTGTATAAGGGCATAATGGTCAAAGGACACTTAAAAGTAAAGGCACCATTGTCGATTAATAATTTAATCTAAAATCAAATTTTGAAATTGAAGTGTAGGGCTTGGGCATTGACACGTGCATCAGAGTTGACATTTGAATGAAAGGAAAAAAAACGCAATAGTCATTACTTTGCATGTTCTTGAAGCGAGAGACTCTTGGGATTTGGGTTGACGTCTTTGACTGCCTTCTAGTGACTATTTAGGTGATCATGAGTGTTAACGGTGAGGTGAACTGGCAATGGAGGGGCGGTTTGTGAGTTTGGGTTTTGGGTTCGTGTACAATGGTAACGATAGGGGTAAGATTGTTGACAGGGACTTTTTTGGGCGAATGGCGAGGTTTTTGGCGACTTCTAGTGATAAGTTGGTCTTCTAATCCCCTTTTTGAAATTTGTTCAGGCTTTCATTTGTCCCTTCCCAGTAGTTTTATGATTCCAAAAAAAATTTCTAAAAGTTTGATTTTTTGTTTTGATGAATCTGTTGAAGTTTATTTGGTGTTTGATGCATAAATGTTGATGTGTGTGATATAAAAATTGGCTTTTTTGTTCGATCAATTGAGGGTGATGTGATGCATGTTCAATTCCTTTTCTTTTAGCTGAACAATTTGATAAAGGCTGAAGTTTTTTATGAAACTACAGGCTAACTGGATTGCTGTATCGACTGGCAAAAATTTGAAGTTTGCATGTTAGTTTAGAGCTTAGCCGAATGTTGTTGATTTTCCAAGTTACGAAATGTCAAGTAATAAATGTATAAAATACAATCGAACAAGGGAATTACTATTATCAATTTCAATTAAACTACCTATTACTATTTGATCAATCCAAATTTATCAAGGAACCTAAATTAAATAAACAATTGAATTTAGAAGAAAACTGAAAAGAGAACAATTAAAATAACCTTGGGTAAAAACAAGATGATAGAACCTAAGCGATAGACTTTACACCAACTCTTATTTATATGTATCGATCTCTTATGCTAATTATTAAAACTCTTCCTACAGGTCAAACTCCTAAATTTCAATAACTTTCTCTCAACAATTATCAAATTAACCCCTAATTACTAACGAATATCTCTAAAGATTTAAAATTGGGGATCATTACGCTCTATGGAGTTTACCAAAATCTCACAAGTCCGGTTTTTAGTGTTCTCAACTATGGTTTTACTACGTAGACCAACTAAGTATCATTCTCAATCTCAACTTAGTCCATTAGTTCATTCAATTTTTGGGCCCTTAAGAACAAAAGCATTAGGAATAATAGTAAAACTTAGATAAAAGCTCAATAGGAATTAACAACAATTTAAGTCAATACATATTCATAAATTGGGTACATTTAGCCTCAGAAAGAGAATAATTCATAATAAACATGAAAGAAACAATCATCTTTATTAAAACATTCATCATGAGTTTACAAGAAAAGATAAGGAAAACTTCTCTATATTGTGAATCAAAGCTCCAAATTTCTTTATTTCTCTTCTCTGCAGATTTTTCTCCCTTTCTTCCACCCAAAGGATCATCAAATAATGCTAAAAGACTTCTATTATATCCCACAAGGGTTAGGGGTTGTTTCCTTATTCTATTTGATTTGGAACCCTAACCCTATTCTCCTGCTAAAAACGAAACAAGTTAGTGACTTCCGTTATTGTGCTGCGGCACCGTAGCTACTGGAAAAAGTGCCGCGGCACAGAGCTAATGCCCTTTTCTGCATCATTCCACTATTCTTCAAATATGTTGATTTTTGAACTCGATAATGATGGATTTGAAAAAATGTAAACATATAAATGTAGCCCTTTGAATTATATTTCCAACGTCAAGAATCTCTAATCAGAGTTTACCGCTCAAGATATTCTCAAAATACCAGGCATGCGTAAGCTGAACATAATCTGGAATCTTCTCTTTACTTCAACTCCAAACTTCTTCAATTCAACTCCGATTCTTGATCATTTGTTTCCACTAGTCCCTCACCGTTGCCAACATGATTCTTATCCGACCATAACATCTAAGCACTAGTGCCTCAAAAACACTCAAAAAAACCGTGATCCTATAAAAGGCAATTATGAAAATATTAAGCCACTTTACCAAATTAAGCCTAATTCCCACAAATATTCCCATAAACCACTAAATAAATGTGTAATTCAAGCTCTTATCACAACCCCCAACCACTTCTTGCTAGTCCCTAGCAAGCCAAGCGATAAGACAAGTCTTTAGCTTGAAAACACAAACAAAAAAGTCTATATCTAAACTATCCTAATCACTTCGTAGTGTCAGGTTGCATTTAGCATATGCAACAAGCCTTTAAAACCCTACGGCCCTAGTGACGAGTTATAGTCTGTGAGGGTTTCCAGCGATGATACCCACAAATACCTAACCAACCTAACCTCACCTAGACTCAAAACTAAGACTCAAACAACATTTAGGATTCATACATATAATCGTCTCAAAAATTGTGTCAATGTGCACAAAACGAATAATTAACAACATGCAAATGCAAAGACTAAGGTGATTCAACTACACTTTTGTATTGACTCTCTCATAATCATTCACAAAACATTCTCCCAAAGCCCAGATATTTTATGCATAGCTTCCATAAAAGTAGAAAATAAACAAATGTGCAATCAAAATCCATAGGCTACTTTTCAAACCACTCTCCACTAATGTAGAATCCAATCACTAACTGGATCATTAGGTCTTTTTCATGGTGTAACGTTGGCTGGGTAATATGTTATGAAAGAACGGAAAAGAATTTTAACAAAATATAAGAGACTTAATATTTTTCAGTAAATGACCATGAACAATCTTTTCTTGCTTCCTTCTCATTCACTCTCTATCCTTTCACATTGATTGAACCTTCTTCCCATATATAGCACAAACCCTCATGTAATATACCTCATTTCAAGTTCTTCTCCCCAGCTATTTCTTCCTATTTTCTGCAAATTTTTTTTCTTTCTTTTGCTCATTTTTTTTTTTTTTTATGAAGATAGTAACTCAAAAAAAAAAAAAAAAAAAAAATTTGTCAACCCCACGCTTCTATATCATCATTTTTTTTTCACAACCCCCAACCTATCTATTGCACATACTTAGGTTGTGGTTCAAAAAATATATATTCATCTTCTACCACACTTCTTCATGAGTTTTTCTTATAAGGTCACTTAATTAAGTCCTCACAATAAGATGGGTCGGAAAGTGTTTTAGGCTTCATGTCAAGTGGATATAGTAGGTTTAACAAAAAAAAAATAAGGCTTACCAAGTGTATATATAGGCTCAAAGGGTTAATAGGGATAAATAAATAGGTTGGCTTGAAAGGCTCAATCGTTCCAAAGAAAATTGCCTAAATCAAATCCAGCAATGAGATTCTAGGATTTCGCCTCAAAGATTATCAAGTATCTAGAGTTTATGCCCAATTTTCACATTAAAAAAAAAAATTATCCGCCCATAAAAACACACATAAAACGTCTCTAAGTTTCCGAATATTAACCAATCAAAACCATTCCCAAGAGAGTCATAACTAAATACAATTGACATCTACTATCATCTTTACATTACGCGAAAGTTAATAAAATCTCAATGTACAAATTCACTATCTTGTCTTATCATTGACTATGTAGAGCAACACACTAAAACAATTCACCAAAAGCTTTTAAAGAGATATTCAAAGCACCAAAAACCATTTGACCATAAGAAATATTCCTTACCCCCACATTAGAGATGATCATTGTCCTCAATGTGTAGAGAACAAACACACTACCTTTCGCGCACATTATGTGGAGATAATCTGTGAAGGCATGCATATTGTTTGTTGTATCCAATAGTCATCGAGAATCTAATCCAAAAGAAAACAAACTGTGTTCCATGCTTGGCCAATTTAGAGTGCATAACAGAAATA